CCCCAGAGCTGCACAAGTGAACATGGCTGGCCGCTCCTCAACAGGTTGTCAGAAAGGCCATGTGTGAACTAGATTTGTGGCTCATGTGTAAGAAAGACTAGCATTTAGTTTGGACCTTTCACCCTGGCAGGTCTCCTGCTGCCAGAGGTACTATCTGCAGCTAGTGCCCTTTTGAATGGCAACTCGAAAGCAGGAACAGTCCATGCACCTGCTCAGAGAAGAGAGGCACAAAGCTACATGCAATTGAACAGTGCTGGAACAGGACTGTCTGTTCCTACTGGAGCTGAGGAGCATTAGGGAGCAGCTAGCCCTGTCCTGAGTAAGGCTGGCTGACAGATGAGAAAGACCCACAGGATAGTGTAAGGTCCCACCCCTAACCCCTGACCTTTGCCACCAGAAGTCCCTCCCCTTATCCCCCACCACCCTGGGAATATTCCTTTTGAGAGGGGAAGGTTACCATCTTGGAACCAGAAAAAAAAAAAAATCATACACTAAAAGTAAAACACCTACTATAAAATATTTTAATTTTATCACAAAAAATATTTTTGTCATGATTTGTGCTTGCATCATGTATATAGAGATAATTGCATAACAACTAAAAAATAAAGTCTTAGTCTTGTATATCGCGTGTGGGAGATGCAGTTGGGGGGGGTGTGTGTGTATCGTGCGTTGTTGGGAGGTTGTGTGGGGGTGTGAGGTTGTGAGGGGGACATAGGGTATGTTGCAGTGTATATGTGGGGGGTTGTGAGGGCAGGTATGTGGGGTTTATGGGGTGTAAGGGAGGTTGGGGGTGTGGGGGCTCCCACACACACTCCCCCCCATGACACACTCTCTGCTGGCAGTGGTGGCAGCAGCAGCAGTAGACAGTGGGTACTCATGTCCCGTGCAGGTGCTGCCGCCTAGTGGCACATGATTCCAGCAAGCGCTGCACATGGCAGCAAGGAGTGCAGCCAGGCTGGCCTGTCTCTATTACACAGGGCTCCACGAACAGCTCCCAGCACCAGGGGAAGCCCCACGCAATGGAGTCAGCTGCCTTTGCCACTCCTTGCCATGCAGGCCCTGGGACTCCCCCAAAGTGGAGGGGAGCCCTGCTTCCCAGCAGAATCCCAGGACCTGAATGGCAGGGAGCAGCGAAGGCAACCGGCTCCATTGCGTGGGGCTTCCCCCACTGGTGCGCAAGTGCCAGGAGCTGCACATGTACCACCAGATCCCCATGCAATAGAGGAGGGCCAGCCTGGCTGCGCTCCTTGCCATCACGCGCAGTGCTGGCTGGAGCTGTGCACCGCTAGGTGGCAGCACCTGCACGGGCAATGAGCACCCTCAGCTCCAGCCCCCCGCCGTGCTGCTGCTGCCACTGGCAGCAGGGGCTGTGTGCCATGGCAAGGAGTGTGTGTGTGTGTGTGTGGGGTGGGGGGTTCCCATACTCCCCACTCTCCCTCACACTCATACCCTGCCCATCTGAGCTCCACACTCCCGCTGCCCCCTGGGCATGGGGTCCACACTGCTGCCCTGCTGCAGCTCCCTGCCACCCCCACCCCTGTCCCCACTGTTTCTCTACCTGGTGCCCAGAGCAAGTGGGATACCAGGGAAGTCAAGCAGGTCCCCCAGCTGCAGCAGTGGCAACAGCAGCAGCCCCACTCGGGAGCTGTGTGCTGGCTGGGCTGGGCCCTTCTATTCACAAGGGTGGGAGCGAGGCATGGGTGCTGGGCAGGGTACAATTAGTTGGACACCCATGGGCAGGATGAAATTGCCTGCAAGGCTGGATCTGGCCCACAGGATGTATTTTGCCCACCCCTGCTTTAACTCCAGTCAGTAACTAAATCCCTCAGGCAAAAGCAAAGACTTTCTACTGCCTGGTTTAGAGATGTGAAGGCCCGGAAAAAAGTCGTTACGAAACCAGGAAAAAAAAAAAAAAAAAAAAAAAAAAATCAGAAAAACTTTTTTTTTCTATTTTTTTCTGAGGACTTCTTTAATTTTTTTCCAAAAAACTTAAAATTTTTGGAAAAATTAAAAAACCTCTTATGAAATATTTTATTTTAGAATGATGAATAAAATGTTTAAGACAAGGTGTTCATATATTGCTACCCCTTACTCCCCAAAAATGTTTTCTAATAACTATGTAATAGGAAGACTTTTATGTAAGACTATCTACAGTATCAGATCATACTTGGATCAAGAGCTTGACCAGGAGTTCACCAGGGAATTGGTTGAGGCCACTCGCTCCCGGTGCATGGTTGTCATGGGAGACTTCAACTATCCAGACAACTCATGGGATGAGCACTCGGCCAAATCCAAGTG